CAGAAAGAGTATGCTGATCACATGTTGCAGATGTTGACACTACACCCAGAATTGGACTATGGTACAGTCAAGCGATGTTATTTCTCTGACATTCATATTTATCAGACTAAAAGGAGAAATTGTCTATCAAAATAATCCAAAGGAATGGGAGACTGGCTGCACGAATTCGCATTTTTTCTCGAATTCCAAACCATCGAAGGCCAAAACTACAGATTTTGACGTAAGGACGAGCAAAGATCATATACCATCTTAAAATGATAACCGAAGCAATGCATGATACACGCAGTATTACAGTGATAGAATATTTATTCTTTTTCCGAATTATGGTAGATAACTTCGGGCATTATGGACTTATGCCTCATTTTGAATCATAGAAACAGTAGTAGCAACATCAAAATCCTTAACGATATTTCTATATAAGTAAATGTTCTTACCGATACCCCGTTAGTAATAGATCCAACAAACCGAATCAATTTTCTTTACTTTATCATCATATTTCAGTTTCCATTCTGGCCATGACCTGACTCTCATACATAGCTGTGTGTTATAGAGACACAGCCATGTAGTAGTACTGATGCCAGTAGAGAGAGAAAAAAAAAACATCTCACATAGTCTTTTTCTTCGTATTCGTGAAAACTCATTTCAGTTACGTAAAGAATTGCATGTTGAATTATAAGGACTATTTGTTTACAATGTTATACGAGCATGCTTTGCACAATACTTGTCTCCCATGAAATTCCAGCAATATGAATTATTCATCCATATAAAGATAACAAAAAGGAGAAGAAACGGATACAGACTCCCCCACACTTTTAAATTTAGGATATTCAAACACTTGCAGTAATTCAACACTGTCCTCATAATCGTATTTTTACTAACCGGAAGTTCCTGATCGAGACGAGAACCAGAAAGATTTTCCAAGAGTTTCAAAAGGCCTTACCTTGGTGGTTTATGGCCTCGAGTAACAGGTGGTCGGATCTTGCTGGAACTAAAACACAGGTCAAAACGGGTCTTACGTCCTCCTACTTGGCATGAAATTCACGTGACTTCTAAAATCTTTTTATATATTTTTTGTTTTCCGGCGCAGGATAATTTCAAAAGGCGAATCATCTAGCATTATAAAGACTGAAGAAAATATATAAAAGAATATTGTTATTATTATAGACGCATTGCACTGTAAAATTACTTATTTTGGGGGGTCTAAATGGATTAATTGATGTGTCTGTTCATAATAGCATTTTGTTAAAAGACATTTACTGTTAAAGGCTGCTATTATTTATTTCCCTGGACGTCATTTTCCAAAATTGAAGCTCATGAACTCTTCAATCTCCATAGTTGCTAACTTTCAGAAGATATTACATGTAGTATTTGAAAAAAAAACTCATGGACGTTTTAAAGTGACAAAAAGTAAAATATGATAATGATGATGATTCAGTGATATTATTACGGCTAATCATATTGAGAAGGTAATAACGATAACGGTAATGATAATGGTGCTATGTAACAAAGAATGAAATAGGTTAAGTGATGAACAACAAATGCAATAATGTTTACAATGTGCATTGAAGAACATACAGTAAAACAGTGAATATCACAGCAAAATATAAGACAAACACACACACACACACACACACGCACACACACACGAGCGCACGCATACACACGCACACATACGAGCGCACGCACACACACACACGAGCGCACGCATACACACACACACACACAACACACCTACAATTAACACAAAGACACACAAACACAGACACTGGCACCGACACACGCACGCACACACACACACACACACACACACACACACACACACACACACACACACACACACACACACACACACACACACACACACACACACACACACACACACACACACACACACACACACACACACACACACACACACACACACACACACACACACACACTTGCCACGACAAATCTCACACATACATACAACTAACACAAAGACACACAAACACAGACACTGACACCGACACACACACACACACACACACACACACACACACACACACACACACACACACACACACACACACACACACACACACACACACACACACACACACACACACACACACACACTTGCCACGACAAAATCTTTTTCACACAAAACCTAATCTACAATAATTATTTTATTCTTAATGCCAGTCGAGGGATCCCAGTTCTTCGATATCAAATTCAGAAACAAACAGAAGAAAATTATATGTTCAACATTGCAGTTAACGGCTATGACAGCTCACCTCATTCCCTCCCTTGCACACAGAACGTAATTAGGAAGCATAATAAACAGATAACCGTAATTTTAGTATTATGTGCTTTCGGCAACACCCTAAACTAATAGCTATTATTTTCAATATCATCAGAATCGTTGTTATTGTCTTTATTAGCGTTTTTTGTTATTATTGTCATTTTTGTTTTATTATTATTATTATTATTTATATAATTATTATTATTATTATTATTA